TATATATTTAATATTATATGTGTATATATAAAATATAATATGAAATTTGATTGGCTAATAGTATATCAGGTGTGGGTGGGTGGAGGTAAGATTTTGAAATTTATTAGTAACAAAAAATTATGTAATTTCTGAAAGCCCCCTAATCACTTGTATATGATAGTTAATTTTTTAAAAAAATTAATAATCGTATATAAGCAAATACTAAACTAAATTAGCTAAAATTTTTATATATAATAGAAGTTTATCTACACTATCTATGATAAAAATTTGAGCTAATTTTAATAACTAGTTATAGAGCTATTCATTGTCAAAGTTTGAGTAAAAATAGAAAAAATTTTATAGTAATCAAAATTTTAATATTTTTATTTAAACTTTGATAATAGATATCTCGATAACTATTAATCTAAATTGGCTCAAATTTTTACTATATATACTATAGATATTATTCTATTATATATAAAAATTTTAGCTAATTTGGTCTAATAGCTCTCGAGTAATCGATTGTTTACAATAGTCAATTGTTTTAAAAAAATTAACTATCGTATACAATCGATTACTCGAAAGCTACTAAACCAAATTGGCTAAAATTTTTATATATAATAGAATAATATCTACAGTATATATAATAAAAATTTGAGCCAATTTGGATTAATAGTTATCAAGATATCTATCATCAAAGTTTAAGTAAAAATAACAAATTTTATTCTATTTAATAGATACTTTAAAATTTATATTATTTTATCTTTTTAAAATCACATTATTTTAATTATGCTATATTATGTGATTATATAGAGGTAATTTTATTAATTATATTTAATTACCCTCTATATGATCACCAAAAAGTGCTAAATAAATTGGGTGATTATATAGAAAGACAACTGTATAATATTATAGAATTAATAATAAGGAAATACTTTTGTAGCGCTATAGTACCATGGCACTATATATACCAAATGTACTATGTTATACAGAAAATTATTTAATTAAGACCATAATACTGTACTGATAGTCTTTTTTACTGATATATTAGTGATCTGTGCGTAATAGCCATCGTATAATAATCAGAGCAAATAAATAGGGGTTCGATTATAAATGTGATCAATTTTTCTTCTTTTGAGAACAAACAAACATCAAATAAAACTTTATCGATTTATTTCGTAAGCTATGAGACTATGCATATAAAAGTGAAACAACGCTTGTTTGTATATAAATAAAGAACATTGATCTGTTTGTTTACTCGTAATAATTACCTAATAAAGGTTACTTTTAAAGCATAAAAACGTCGACAAGAAAGGTTAGAAAATGGAAAAACAAAAAACCTAAATAGAGCATTGTGTCAGTATTGTTTTAACCTTATAAACATATCAAGATGAGTTGTAGTAATGAAGCGATGGTCTTTAATATTATGGTTAATGATGACAAACTCAGTAATGGGCACAAATATGATAGTAGATATAAATATGGTTTTGGGTACGAATATGGTGTTAGGAATGAATACAGTATTGGGAACGAATATCGATATGATAGTAGACACGAATATGGTATTGGTCACGAATATGGTATCAGACATGAATATGGTAGTGAGCACAAATATAGTAGTGGGCATGAATATAGTATTGGACACGAATATGGTAGTAGGCACGAATATGGTATTGGAGATGAATATAGTAGTGGGCACGAATATGGTAGTAGGCGTGAATATAGTATTAGGCACGAATATGGTAATGGGTACAAATATAGTAATTTGAACGAACATAATGGTATGGATGAAAATGATAATATGAACGAACATAATAGTATGAATGAACATGACAGTAGCAGTAGGGATGAACACGGCAATAGGGTTGAATACCGTAATTATGAACCTGAAGAAAACATTACTGAAGATGCGAATGATGATTATAAAATACAAAAGGTTTTTAATAGTTGGGATGTTGCTATAGAAGAAATTGAGAAATATGCATGTCGTAAAGGTATGAATGTAATTATCTACTTAAATAATTTGATATAAAGCATAAAGTAACAATAACAAAATTTTTTTTGCATCTCTAATAAAGGATTTGGGACTAGGCGTCTTCGCGTAGAAAAATTAGACAATAGTGATATTCGGCGATACACGATAGTGTGTGAACACTTTGATCGTCCTGAACAAACGAAAAATAAGAACCCGCAAAATAAAACTACGTCTAAACGTATAGGATGTACTTGGCAAATAAATATTTCTTGCCCAAAAAAAAAAAATCCACATAGGCTTATTTATGTCACAAAAATAGTTGACAAGAATAAAAATCATGAGCTTAACCCACCATACCGTACCTTTCAAGAGTCTCTTAAGTTTAGTGAAAAAATGTTTAAGGATATCGAATTTTATGTGAAAAAGATGAATTGCAGTCCCCAACAAATCTGTAAGGCTTTAGAAGAAAGTTATCCAGAGCATACAATTTACATACCTGTGCTATAACGAGAAATACAGCGTTTCTGTCCAAAGTTACGTGATCAAACTAATAATGCAGCTTGCTTATATGAGGAATTGTTAAAAAAGAAAGAAAAAAATCCATGTTGGTATATGACATTGGACTGGAATCCTAATACTAAGTGTCTTCGCCAGTTATTTTATATATTACCTGAGCAGATTGAACTCTGGTTGAAATTTAATGATGTTGTTCTTAATGATTGCACAGCGGCAACAAACCATTATGAAATGGTACTATCAATTTTTTTAATTGTTGACAATCATTTACACTCATATATGGTGGTGCAAGCACTCATAGATGATGAAACGATGGAATCTCATAGCTGGATTTTTCAGAATATAAAGAATGCCACACGTAATGCTGTTCCACGTGCGATTTTTACTGATGCGGATCCAGCTGTTTCTGCGGCAATTCGTGATGAGTTTTCTACAACAAAATCTCTTCATTGTATGTTTCATATCTCTCAAAATCTTTTTTCAAATCTTAAAAGCTATCTTGGAGTTCAATATAATGAATTTATTCAAGATTTCTACAAAATGCAAAAATCACCATTTGAGGTTATGTTTGAATATAAATAGACACAATTGGTTAACAAATATAG